ATGACTCATCAGCATGGAATAAACGTAAGTGATGACATCAACAACAACACAAGCACTGAGGTTCATGGCAACATCACAGCAGCCTGGTGACCTTGGCACAGAAAAGCCCCAAAGACCACTCATGCAGAGCTTTCCTCCTCGCCTTCTCTCTGGGAAAAAAACGGTCATTCTGCAGTTCATGGTATGGAAGCTTTACCTGGCTGGTAAAGCAGATGCTGCGTATTGGTCGCCATGCAGAGCTCCAGTGTTCAGTTTGACATCAGTGCTTCTGTCTCTAAGAGAAGTGAAGCTGCATGATGCTGCTCGCCCCAACGCCTGTCGGACTTTTGAGTTGAATAAATGGACACAGCACTACACTACTGGATTTAGTATATATATATATATATATATAGTGAGAGATTACTTGTCAATACTGTAGGCGTGGCCACAGAGCTCCTGTTCAGCCTGAGGCAGATAAAATGTAGGTTGCCCCCCTGGATGCCCCCCTGAAAAGATGTAATGCCCCCCTCAACTTGAAATGTCTTGTTGTTACCACTAAACAAAAAAACTTAGCAAAAAGTCGATCGGACTATTTTGCTAGCTTCACTTTTGTCACCTCAACTATTTATTTTAAAGAACTTGGATATACGTGCAAACTAGGGCTGGTACGAATAGCAATTTCTGATCTCCGGACATTCGGTCCCAATTGATGATGAAAATCCCGAATATTTGGGGGTGCCGGGTGAGTATTTGGTGCGCTCAGGCTCCGACGGGCTGGAGTGGGCGTGACGCACAGGCCGCATTTGGCTACTAAGACCAGTTTTTGTGTTTACGTTAGCGGTGACGGCTTTGTTTCCACGGAGATCAAGTTTGATATCCTGATTCCAGCACAGCGAACGAATAGTTCAGCTATGCAGGTCCAGCCCTCGTGCAAACACGAGATTTCTATACCTCAATGTTTTAAAGCAGTGAGGGTACAAATAGTTTTAATTGTTTTAAAAAAAATCTAATCTAAGACCTAAATATTTGAATATGTTAAGCAGTTTTAGAAAACCTGCCTCATAAAATGTGACCGTACACGTTAATGTACATCTCTGCACTCGTGATTTCGAGGTTAATTTATTATAATATCAACCAGTCTGACAGTTTGGTGTTTTTTTTTAAACACAACAGAGAACTAATTAGACGATTACTGTTGATTTGTTGACAAAAGCTAAATAACCAGACTTCTGTTTGATCATTTGAACACAGATAATAGTACAAAATTACGCCATTTACTAGAATAATACCAGTTGTCACACTTTATAAAAGAACATCAGAGGTCCCGGCTCTTTAATATCAGGTAGCTCCAGAACCGAGTCTGATCTGACACCGGTTTGTTGATGAAATATGCATCTGACAGCGAAACAGCAGCCTGGAGGAGATCAGAACCGCACAGCTGATTAGGGTTAATTCACAAAATGAAACCGATCGGCTTCAAAGCCGGAGCCGCTGGTCGGCGTGATGGAGCCGAGGTTCCTCCATCACAGAGAGCACTTCAGCACAGAGCGGACGAGTTTAATGCAGCGCCGTTATGAAGTTACTCACAGAATTAATTTTAATTAGTGACAGATGATACGAGCCGCCGCCAGCATTGTTTGTCATTTTAATCTGTGAGACCGGCAGTCGGGGTGCTTTTAAAAAACAGAGAGCACGAACTGTTGTGGATCTGGAGCTCGCGTCAATATAAAAAGTCAGAAATTAGAGCGACTTTAAAATGCTGCGCCGCCGCCGATCCTCGCTGCGATAAACCAACATTCTGGGGAGGCTCTCTCTCCTCGCCGCTCTGCTTCAGAATAAATTAAGGTTTGGCCTGATTTGCAGTGAAGACGGAGTTCCAGTCGTCTCAAAACCCACATCAATCATCCAAATGTCAACAAACAAAGCAAAAGAGCCACCAGTGGCACAAATGCAAATGACGGATCCGGGAAACGGGGACTATCCTCTGATTCTGGTGGTTCTGGAGTAAAGCGCGCGGGCCTCTTTCCAGTCGTTTTTCCCGCCGTTTCATGTCGGGATCCCGCCGGGAGACGCCCACCACCACCACCACCACCACCACCACCAGGATGGATGGCTTTAGGAATAACAAATGTAAAGCAAAGCGGTCTAATCTGCTCGTCGGCTTTCACAGGCGCTCAAGACAAAAGCGCCCGGGAGTCCTCAGCGCTAATTAACAGTGTCAGCGGTGACAGGACGCAGACTTGTGAGCGGCTCAGCCCATTGATTGTTTCAAACGCGTTGTAGTAATGCAACAGGAAGTGGATGAAACGGGGACCGTTTACCACTTCAGACGCCGCTCGCAGCGCCGAATCCCGAGATTACTTCGCCGAAGGCATCTCCCGGCGCATCCGCTGACCTTTCTTCATCATTAGTGGATGTAAAGAGGGTGGATCCCTGTCAGGAGCCCTGAATAACTCATCAGCTGCACGGCCGGGGGAATACCGAAGGGTTAATGGTTTCTGTTTGGGGGGCCTTCGAGGCTTTACCCCTGAAGCACTCGCATTTCAATCCCTCCGCTGCACGAGGAGGAGCGGCGGCGGCGAGTGGGGAGCCGAGATAGCGGCGAGCTGTGCACGATGCATAAAAGTGGTTTGGCGTGCGGTGGGGGTTGTTTTTCTGCAGAAGTGTATCATTAACTGTCAGCAGCATCCCCCCTCCAGACGTCCTCCTCTAATGCATCCAGCCGACAGCAGCATCCTGGGCTGTTTATCCGGCGCCCCGCTCTCTTTATTAGCCCTCATAAAGAGCGACACCGGGCCGACCCGCACGCCCGAGCCGCTGGTTTGGGCGGAGGGATGACCACTCTTTAGAGGACGCAAAACAGCTCAGAAACGGAGCCGATAGAGCTAACCTTATTTATCGTCCAGACATCCCCAAAGAGAATGCCATTTCTGAATGTCACGACCTTTTCTAACCGCGTTTAAAAACCCGCCAGGTCTTCAAGGTGTGGTTTGTCAATAAAAAAGAATTTGAGGATTCTCGAGGAGCGGCGAGCGGAGACGGCGAGGCGATGCATATGCTCGGCTTTTAATGGCTGCTTGTCATCTGTTGTTTGGCTGATTGAGAGGGTTTTCCTGAGGCTCCTGACAGTGATTGAAGCGGCGTGTGCGTTCGCTTGATAAACTTTAGAGCAGACAGTTTCGATAACGGCGAGAGGAAAAAAAAAAACAGAAATGAAAGGAGTTAGTGATATCCGGCGTGCGTGGAGAGGAGTGTGGGAAGGGGCTGATTTAAAGCAGCTCTCTTTGTCCGAAACCTCTCACAGATAATTGTCTGCCGGAGCGAAACAACGGCGTGCAGCAGTTCATCCTGAGAGGGCAGCGCCGCAGACATCAAAAAGACAAAAGGAGTAAAGGAGGAATTAAAGAAAAGCTGAGGGGGAGGCGTCTGGGGTGCGATCTGACACTAAAATCTCTGCCGTGTCATAAGGACGGC